AAGAAAGATATAAATACACTTTGGGTTGGAGGGTTGAATATAGTTGACTGTTGAGTCTCATCCCCAGGGTCCCAAAGCATCTGTATTTGATGTCTTAGGAATGAGACTCAACAATCAACCATTTTTCTTGGCTCAGATTGGTGGCTTTTGTTCCGGTGGATCCTAGCAAATGCCATTAGGAGCGCTACAGCAAGCCAGAAGAACATTATTTTTTCACAGATTATCTGTCTCATGTGCTACTGTCAGGATATAATGAAAGTTTCAGCAAATATGACAAAAATATCTTTTATAAAAATTATCTAATGCAGCTTTAAGTTTTACATTTTCTATTTATAAATATATATATATATATATATATATAAATATTGGGGCTTTTAATGCTAGTCACAGCTAAAAAGTGATGGTAAGGGGGCGAGAGAAAGGAGGGATGACACACGGCAAAGGTCAACAGGTTTGATTCGAACCCAGGGCTGCTGCAGCAAGGACTCAGCCTTGGTACATGGGACTGTACCAGATGAGCTATCTAGGCGCCCCAACTGGTAACGCTTTTTATCTACATATCAGAAAAACTGTCTGTGGTTTTGCATAGTTGGAAGGTTTTGTTTGGAGTAGCTGTTTTGATGTTAGATGTTTCACTTTGAATGAAAAATAAAACTCCTACAGGTCAAATTGTTCTGGCAGAAAATGTGAAATTATTCAACATTGAACAGCAGTGTCAACTAGTCCTGAACTGACTGCGTGTCAGACCTGTCAGTGCTAAAACAAGGCAGTGAGTTGTTTCCCTCTGTAGTTTCGGATGCAGTCGCTGAGCACTTGATTGATAACTTGTTGGAATTTCTAGATCACCTCAACACATAGTGTGATGGATTAAGTTAATTCAAAACTGCTGGAGCTTGTTCAAGGGTCATAAAGAGAAAACATGTTTATGTTGTACTTCTATTACAGTGCATCTTCTAAGAGCACAGGGCCAACTCCCAATTGAAAAACAACCTACAATAAAACAAGAAAAAGACACTATTTGATCAATCCAACACATTCTGCAGCACTTCAACAAACTGGATGACTTACAAAAAATGTGTTTACTGAACAACACCCAACCCCTAACTTGTGCTTCGACCCTGCTACACAGACTGCTGACTCAGCCGCCTCTCTGCCAGACTGCTGACGGCTATATACTTTCTTCTTTTCCCAAAACGTCTCAGAGCTTTGTCTGAAACCGGCTGTCCTGCCAGCCCAGCAGTGCTACCAGTCTGCTCTTCCCCGCCCACTGGGTTTGACCTGCTACAGACCTGATGCCTCGGCACTGGATCCCCCCACATGCAGGAGCCACTAATAAGCCCTGCTGCCCCACTACATCAACCCGACTATGTTGCTCTCCCTCTCTTTCCCCTCTCAGTATTTGAATAAAATTCACTCCAGGGGAGTAAACCTGACACCAGGTGTGATGAGTGCTCTTGTGTTCCCCACAGCAGCTGTACACTTCACACTATTGATTTCCAAAGACCAAATTAGCTTAGTGATGAATAAATCTAGAGCTGCAACTAACAATGACTAATATCTATCAATATTTATGTTTTTTCAGTAAATCAGAAGTAATGGCTTATGTCTATCAAACCCTACCACAGCCCAAAGTGATATATATATTTTGCAGGGTGTCCCAGTGGAAGAGCAGTTAAGCCACATACCATAAAGCAGCAGTCTCTCTCCCTCCCCCTCGTTTCCTATCCATCTATACAATTAATTGCCCTTACGAAGGCAGAAATACCAAAAAAATATTTTGTCTGAACAATAGTCCAAAACCCCAAATGTATTCATATTAGAATAGCTGTAAAGATTTGCAGCTTTTGTCTTTTTCTTCTTTAGAAGCAGAATGTTACTAGTGACTAGTTAAAGCACTTAATAATTCATTATCTGTCGATTGAGCAACCAAATAGTTTCAGCTCTTCTAAAAACTATATAAAGATATTTCAGCTCCAGTAAAGTTAACAATATTATATACGGTCATATGCTTCCACTTCTGACATAGTGAAATTTCCTTCCAGCAGCTACATAAAATCTCTCTGTAAAACGTATCCACTATAATAAAGTTTAGTTCGCAATTTGTTTTTGCTTAGTAATATTTCTGTGTAACATGATCTCTCTAAGGATTCTTTAAATGCTGTTTCAATGGCAATAAGCAATACTGAATTATATGATATATGAATATAGTATATGACACTGGCTATCTTCGGCTTCAGCGCAAAAACACAAGTATTTGGCATAAGCCTTTTAAAAGCATAAAGGTTTGTTTTATTTTCTAATTACACTATTAATTCTAATCTAGCATGTAAAAAAAAATTGGACTGAAGTGCTTCCCACCTCTTCTCGATCATAAGTGGAGCTGTGGCTGCTGTAACTGCTTATTACTCTGTGCTATTGTATATGTTAAATGGCTTTAAGAGTATTCTGCTTTTCCACTCAGCTGCATTGTAAGTTAGGTTAGATAAGAGTACCAGCTAAATGTTGTAAATGTAAATGTAATTATTCCAGCATACCAAACTGACTGAGTAGGATAGCATTTCAATGTGGCATTATAAAAAGCAGAGCATATACGTTAAAGAGCACACAGAGGGACACATTATAGTCCTGGTATATAAGTATATGTAATACCTAGAACCCCACAGTAGTAAATATGCTTGTTTTATGATTCCTTTGTGGTTGCTTTTTCTCATTTCACAGTTCACCAGTTGAGGACTCTGATAAAAAAAAAAAAAAAAAGTATTTTACTGTATTCCTTTGCCAGAGCCTTGACTTTTTTTATTTGCAAATCTCAGTTTAAGGTCTCAGGACTCCTTTCTGCTCTTCCAACACATTTACAAGAAAATAGACAGCCGCTTCTCTTGCTTGGCTACGTTCTGGTTACAGATTATTTTCTACGGGAGGTTATGCCACAGCGTGATACACTCCAAAACAAGCAGTTTGTATGTTTTTCAGCAGTGTGAGTGCAGATAATCATCAAGAGAGACACGTGATAGATTTTACAAGAGGGGGATCTGCAATTCTTTATCATCCACCGGCTGTGCGCAACACCTGGCAGAATCATGCTGTGGAAACACTGGGGGAAAGTGTATATTCTGCACGGGAGGGCAAGAGAGTAGAGGAGGAGAAAAGAGTAGATTAAAATCAGCAGATTAAAGTAAGGAAGTAAGGGGGAGGATAAACGGACAGGACAGGAGAGAAGGTGATGGCTTTTAAATACAGGGAATTTATATTGCATGATGATTACAGCTCCTCGGAATAAAAGGCTACACTTATCTAATTTTCTTGTTTTATGCCTTTTTTGAAATTGGGTTTTGTACTTTTTTAATTGTGTTAATACTATTCTCTCCACAATATTTAATTCCGCTGACTGGATTATCAACCTCAATCCTTTATGTGTGTTGTCAACATGTTGCAGAGCTGAATGGTGAGGGCTACCGGGTATTCTTTGCGCTAGTGACTGTAAAGATCTGTTGATCCTTGAAGCCCTAAAAGCTTGGTTTAAAATAACAAGTATTTCTCTGCAGCTTTAAATATTTACGATAAAAAACTGTAAGCAACAATTACAGTAAATGTTTGGAAAAGACTTCCGTATTTATTATTTATTGAGTGCGTAATACTCTAAAACTCAGTTATTCTGCTTCATCAGTGTGGATATGGATTGACAGTGCCCCAGTAGCATAAACAAATAAAACAGAACTGTCATCAAATTTATATTCAATTTTTTCTAAGTCCTAACTGGCAGATTTACGTACATGACATAACGATATTTTCACCCTTCAAAAGCACAGACAGAAAAAAAAAACTGAGATCTCTGAAGTGAAATAATCTAAACTTTGGCAGAAAGTTGTGCATTCATGTCAGATCCCAGCTGATTGAAAGAAAAGGTTGTCCAGGCCGTTTTGCTAAGTGTCTTGACTCAATCTTGAGGGCTAAAAACATGGAAGAAATCACAGCCAACTTTATGTTAGGAAGACAGTGATGCCTTCAAATGCAGGGCACAGCCGTTGTTTTGATTGCAACAGGCCTGAGGACCGGCACAACATCCTCAATGTGATGAGGAGTCTACAGCAATTTGATAGACTGCCAAAGAAGCTGTTCCCTCAGAACGCTAACTGCATATAGATGCTAGTTAATGGGCTAATTTACAGGCACAGGTGGTTTACAATGCGCACAGGCAAATTCTCTGCTGCATCTCAAATATATCATCTGAAATGTACTCTAGGTTGCTGATATGCAAAGCACTTCGGTGCTTTATGATTGCTTCTCCAGCTGAATCGAACTCTATGACACAATCAGTTCAAAATTTAGATTCATACACTGTGGTGAAGGGTTCTCTGCAAACTCCCTTGAAATAAAAGGTTTTATTCAAGTGACCTTGAGTAAAATACTGGAAACAAACCCTCTGTTTAGTATCAATCTGAGAGCTAAATGTGTGTAATATGGGGCTCAAAAAAGCAGAAAATACCACTAAATTTTATCTCCACACGCAACAAAGTGTTTATTTCTGCCTAAGTGTAAGCAATGACTCTTTGCCAGCGCTTATATGAATCCACACCTTTCAGAATCAATTTAACACCTTTTAGATAGTTTTCAACAATCACCTTGAAGCCATATAAGCTCTATTGAACAACAAACAACAGTCCAATCAACAGTTGTCAACTCACTGAAAAATCAACACGTCTTAACACTAAAAAATATGTTGTGTTCAATGCCACAAGCACATGATGTGCGCACAGAAACAGGCAGCAAAGAGGGCAAATGTGAACGTACCTGTCCCACTTTGGCATTTTCACACACAAAGGTCTCATAAGGACTGGCGAGTTCAGGTGGGAACTCATTGATGTCCAATACGTGGACAGTGACGGCCACCCGACTGGTCAGAACTGGACTATCTGGAGAAGAAACATAGAAACATAGAAGAGTTTAAATAAAGCACAAACTCAGGACTAGATAGTGTTACACGAATACAAAAACAAACACAGTATGGAAGGTTTTTTTTTAATTACAGCACTGACATCATGTGGATATCTAAAGTACTACTATCATATGATGAGCCAAAGCATAAATGTTTTTTATTGTTGCAGTAGGATGGCCAAGAGGTTTAAGAGGCCACCCGAGTGTCCAGTCGGAGTGTCCTTGAGCAGATGCTAAACTGCTTAGTGCTCGCCCACTGTAGGTTACTCTGGTTAAATGTGTCTGCTAGGAAACCATTCATGTGTCTGGAACATGTTGATGCATAAATTGCACCCGGATGCTGCTGTTTTATGACGCTTTTGATTAATGATGACAAGGAGAATTAAATAAAAACACAGTAAATGCATCCCATGTGCTGCCTACAAATAAAGCATGTCTCAGATTATATAATATTGCTCTTTAGAGAGAATATTTTCTTTGAAAGTTTTTTTTCCGCAGGTTCTGTTATGGGTTTAAGCTATAAGATGTGCAGCCCATATTAATTATAGTGTGAAAGCCCCCTTGAGAGGGACTAACTTGAATCCAGGGTTGTTTGTTACAATGTTTCCTCACTGCAGGGGCACAACGGGGAAATGTTCTTTTTGTGTGAAAGCCCAAGTAAGGTAAACTTTATGGATTTGATGTGGGAATAGGCTTTGCTCTGCAGCGGGGGGCTTAGTGTGCGCTTGTTTGTGAGTGCTAGTGCATGGGTGCATAGGTAGGTTTGTGTGTAGGTGTGTGGGTGGTTTTGAAGAATGCGGGGGGGGGGTTACTCTGTAGAGTCGTCTCAAGGGAATTGGAGACGTAGCCACAGCTCAGTTTGTAACCTGTCTCTGACCTTGATAGAAAAAGCAATCTTCCCACTGAGGTAAAAATGACACCAAGCATGGGATTTGCTGCTTTGCACTGACTGAACTACTAACATTGATGCTCACCCAGCAAAAATACTGATCTTTTCGGTCACTGAGGTCCTCAATTGTTTGGCCTCTAAAAAGTTTGAACAACTTCAAATCTTCTAGATCAATGAAAAGTCCCGGGCTTCTGGGTACAAGAGTTTATCATTTCCTCCTCATCCCATCTCAAAAACTCATCTCCGTAACTGTTGACTGGCTCTAAGCATGTCATCAGTGATATATCTTATAGCCCACTAGATGGAGCAATGGTATAGTGGTTATATTCAAATCTGACTAGTGTCAGCATTTCAGCACAATAACAAATGCTCTATTCATTTTATTGAAACAAAATCCTGTATTTCCAGAGAATGCTTGGTTGCTCAGCCATAAAGTTGCCTGCTTTATACTGCTTTTCTACTGGATATTACTTTTTTAATTAAGCTAATTATAATAAAAAACCTCCATCTTTGCAAGCAATCAACCACAAATCTATAAAAATGTGCTGCAAAACATAGATAGGAAGATTATTTGTGGATAGCAATCTGTTAAAAGTGCAACTGTAGACAGAATAAGTAAGCAAAGTCACAACATAAAACTCCATGTTGGTGTGAAACTACACTCAATTGCTGTAAATAGATAGCTTCCTCAATGCCTCCTGCCAAGGTTATTATTGCATTTAATAGATCTTCCCCTCTCTTTGACTCCTAAAAATTGCCACTGGGCTTAAATGCCAAAAAGCAAACCGTTAATCTAGCCCCAGCTCTTATTTAGCACGCCTTCTGCTGTGTACTGTGTCTCAGGAGAGCAGCAGACACTGCTCTCATTTTGCTGCATGACTGCGGTGTCTGGCAATGACCGGACAAATCTCTGAGGCTTTGTGAAGTGAAAAGTTTCCATCTCAGGTGTTGTGCTAATCATTGCCGAGTAAAGGTACCTTTATTCAAGGAAAATGTCATCCAACAAACTCATATTGTTGGATTTTTTTCCTCAGAGTCATTGTCATGGAGAATAAAAGGTGTGGGTGGATAAATGTTAGAAAGCATTAGCAGCAAGGACACACAGTAGATGCAGAAACGGGTCAAATGTGGAGGTCTGCAATAATTTACTGTTTATTGAAAACTGCTGTGCAGTGCCAACTGAGGCTGCTCGAGACTGTAGAAAAGCCAGGACATATTTTTCTGTGTGTGACCTCTTCTCATACAATGCATTATTTCTATGGGAATTGAAGGTATTTTGCTTCAATATTTATAGCTGTTCTTCATGGTTTAAAACCCCAATAACAGACAGACAACATCCTGACGATGATAATAGAATGCATCGCAGTGGAGCCATAACAGCTATCCAATACCCAGAACACGAAGTTCTGCCAAATCTCACTCAAGGTCAAAAACACATTTGAACTCACAAGTTGGGACACAAACGCCGGGGTGCTGAGTTTATCTCTATCTCGACTGCACCAGTGCAACCATTATTTTTTTTTTAACAGTGGTTCTGGAACTGAATTCTCTTTTCTTCTTCTTTTTTCTCTCATATTGTAAATTGTCTCTAGAGGAACATATGTCCTCCGAGAGGGGAATCGGAGAGGGCAGAGGGTTGGATCAGAGGCTGACTTGGGGAAAGGTGATAAGAAAGGGCTAAAACGCAGGTGGGCAAGATGTGCAGAAATACTGCCTGATTCCTGTGTCAATAGAACATGTAACGCGCTTGTAAAACTCCCATCTTCCACCTACTCCCTCCTCCCACCATCACATATCCTTTCAGTCTACCTCATCCTCCAGTTCCTTGACACTTATGCACAAAAGCCACACAAAGAAACAAACACACACACACATTGAAAACAGAATTAGCATGTCACTCCCATGACCTTGAGGGGAAGTGAGTAATATCAGTTTCCAAGGCGACAATGACTCAAGTTTTAACAGCCCATATTTCACAGTCTGTCCTAATGAATATACAGCGTGGGTAATTTTGATTGAGCACCAGCCTGCCTCTGGGATAATGACTTTGACGGTTCTTAGCAGATTTGATGACTTGATGACGATGGATTTGCTTATTTATCCGGAAATTTGCTCCACTTCCTTCATAAAAACATAATTAGCTTGATGGCATGTCTTAAAGCCACAGCTCTGCATTACTTCACTCTTTCTGGAGCTTGGCTCACAACATGCTGTGACATGACCGCATCTGCTCGCTGTAAAACTCTGGAAGGTTCACATTTTACTGCGGTGTAAGTAAAAGTTGACTCTGGCAAGAAAAGCTCCCTTCCAATGCCAATGTCATCAAACGTGTTAAAAAAGACAGTTAAAAATGAAAACAGAGTTGAAGTGAGTATGCTAGAGGAGACAATGTCCTGAAGATACATCCCTCTGGGAAAGCCATCATGGTTTATAGTCACCTATAAACCTTTCCAGCAAAATGGGATTGAGTATTGACTTGAGTAAAAGCGTGTTAAATCCTTCACACAGATTATGGTGGGGGAAGGACAACGCCACCTGCATGAATCACAATCGATCTTGTTGTCATACTTACTAAGTTTGGTCGCCACGATGGAGATATTGTGCTGAGCGATGCTCTCTCTGTCAAGGAGTTCGTTTGTGGAAATTGTTCCCTCCACTGGATCAATGTCAAAGTAGCTGTCCAAGTCACTCTTCCAGTCAATGGAATACCTGAAAGAAAATGTTTGTTTAATGGCATCCATTTCCAACATAAACCAGAGAATTAAACCACAGTGATTCTCCCTCTGGACTCATGTATATGAGTTAGGTGTGATATAATGTTGGCGTAGCCTTCATTACTCATTCTGAATGGTCATTTCCAGAAAATGTGCTGAGGATCGCATATACATTCCAATCTAGTAATGGGGCACATGTACTTTGGCCATGCTGAGCAAACGGTTTTCTTGGGAACATAAATGAATTTTAGGCACTGTTGAAACCGTATCAATCTCTCACGGCCGATGAACAACAAAGGCATAAAATGTTGGTTTGGTGTCGGAGAACAGAGGATACGCCGTCCTCTCTGAGAAATACATCTCTGGTCTTGCCCAGTCGCTCTGAATGCAAACTATGAAATACAAAAGAGATCTGAAACCAAACCGCATGCCACTGACAGCGCCATTCATCATGCCATGCTATTTGATCTTAAAAGGCTATTTTTCATTAATAATTTTGCGATCGTCAGTGGGGCTCCCACAGGACAAAATATGTTGTTGTCTTTTATTCGTCTTCACAAGGAGGTCAGAGGTTGGGGGTTCAGTGCCTTGCTTGCAGGCACTTTGCACAGGACAGATGCTTAATTTCTCATGGGCTTGAGCCTGGACTTTCCACATGAAGGACAGCCACTCTAGGCCATGAGTCTGACATTTTTTTTTCTTACTCTTAGCAAGCTATTTGATCTTAAAAGGGCATTTCTCGTTAATATTTCTCATGCTTGTTTTTTTTACACTGTAGAGCCTCAAACTGGACTTGACTGACTCATTAAGAAAAAGAGGCCTAGCGTGCATTTAAACCCCCAAGTCTTTTACTGTAATGAGAATGATAACAAAACCACTTCAGTAGAATTTTTTTACAAGCTTTGGTTCCATCAAATTTTCTGTTTCAATTTTGATTTGTCCACGTCCTCTCTTTAAGTCTGTGTTGCGTGTAGCCTTGAAGTGAACATGATCGTGTCAAAATAGTTTAGTGTGAGTCTCTTTGATAAATATTACAGCCAAACTCCCATCAAGGGTTCAAAAGATCAATGGTTTGCGATCTTTCCTCAGGGCAAAACGCTTTTTTGTGTGGGGGGGGGTTATTATTTGAGTCAAGCTGCTATACTAAAGCATACGTTTCACTGTCAGTGTGGCCCAGTGGTTTGAGAAACTGCCTCATAACCAGAATATTACAAACTAAATCACAGAGTATGAATGTTTTGACATTTCCATGACCCAACAACAAACCCCTACCTGTGCACTTGCAATCTATCAAGATAAATGGCAAACATGTTTCTTAAACTATACTTTTCTGTACTCACGTGAGATTGAAAACATCAAAAACGTTTTACTTGTAATTGGTACAATCTCAGTTATCAGTAAGGAGAATAGAGCTCATCAACAGCTGTGAGAAAGAAATCACAGATCTAAAGAGTCTACTTAAGCTCAACTCAGCTCTGAGAACTGTAGATATGAAAATTAATTACAGCGTTATCTCCTACTTGCAACAGCAGCGCAGTGAACATTACACAAGGTAGTTGAAGAAAAAGTAAAGGCACATTTGTGTTTATTTTCCACAGTCATTGATTTTTAGAGTTTATGGTTTTGCTGCAGTAAACACTTTCAAGTTCATGACCAATGTGGCTCTTCGGTGTTTTGTGATCTGTGGTTACCATTTTAGACGGAGGCCAAAAGTTGAGTCTTTAAAACTTATTCTAACTTTAGGAAGCTCTTTGGATTCGACCGACAATGCAGTATTCATGATGCCCTTTTGTTTCTCCAGCTGGAGATAACTCTGCACTATACTGCTAAATAGCAGAATCAGTTGAGTCTAAAGTCTAAAAGCATAATTCCCTATGCATGATGGGTCATTGGGTCTATTGTTTTGAAGTGAAGAATGCAAAGCTGCTCTCTGAAGACACACAAATGAACAATGTCAGCTGTGGTACTGATGAATATTTAAAGTGCTACAGACAAAGTGGAGATCCACAGAATAGAGGGAATAAGCTTTTTGTTGTACAAATATCTGCTGCTTCTATTTTTGTTGTTCCTGGAATAAAATATTCACAATAAAACAACTTCTGTGCATGCAACAGGTATTTTTACCATTTGTGTTACGCTCGAATGAAACATCTTCGAACAACCATTATTACAAAGCAATATGCCTGAGCAAAAGTAGCTACACTACTAGATTTTAACAAAATGGTTCTCATACATTTTTAAGGATGCACTTCTTTTGTCTTTGCCAATGACAGTCTATTGTTATCTACCACTTAAGTGTTATGGTAGAACACAGGATAGCGTGTGCGCATGTGTGTGTATTTGTGTGGTAGTGGGTTCATAGCAAGACAGAGAGACTGAGAAAGAAAAGGAATGGCTTGCCTTGAGTATAAATCAGGAGTTGAGTCAAGCATGTCAGAACTATAAAACTGAGCAGTGATGTTTGAATGTCCCACCTGATAATTATAGAGGAGAGACCAGCAGTCTACAATATAGTGCCTTGTAAAATTATTTAGGACCCTAAAGTTTTGCGAGATATTGTTTTGCTATTAATTATGTTTGACAATGATTAATTTTGGAGTTCTATAGAAAAGCAATCAAAGCTAAATGAAAACATAAGGAATTCCACTGAATGTATAAATTAAAACAGTAGAGAAAAATAGTTTGCATTAATATTCATTCTTCACTGATATACTACACTACTGCTTATATTTTGTATCAGCTGTCATGTTCAATTTAGATTGTATTTATTGTTACTGAACAATGTTTTATGTGCAGACTTTCTTTGTATGGTCCGAACACTGGGTCTTTTTTCTAATCCATCCCAAAACTGTAAGTGTAACACTATCAGGAGGATGGCTTCCTCTATGTGACTTGGTCCATTTTAATTAAAGCCCTTGAAAGTCTGACAGAAACATAATAATCCACTTGATCATACCGGTTTGCCAAGCCAGACCAACAACACTAACATTCAATGTGCACTGTTATGTAATTCAACATCTACACAAAGATAACTTTAATATATAGAATTGGCATTAACTAAGTTATATCAATCATTATGATAATAACAAACAATACATCTTCAAAAGTACTGCATCAAATGCATGGAAACAGCTGGCCACTCTATTAAGAAAAAACTTTTTTTTAAATGAAAAAACTGAAACTGTGCACATAATAGGTATGATGCAGCAATACATAAAATTGTGTGACTCAAGACGTGTGACAGAATAATTCCTTTTGAAACTAAAAATACTTTTTAGCCTGAGCTGCAGTTTTAGGGATATCAGCTGAAATGAGGCATATTATGTAAGATGACTGTTCACACACTCACATTTTGCTTTCAGAGGCAGGGTTGCTCTCCTTAACCAAAAAGTTAATGTAGTGAGTAAATATATAAAAAAAAAGGGAATGAAATGTAACTTCAAAATAGTTTGATCATTCATTGTCAGACTTAAGTCAGTATCTGCACTTTAATAAAAAGGGTTCAAATATCTCTCTCATTTTAAGAGTGCAGATATCAGGTTCAGTTATGCCAATATGGAGCCACTAATAAAGTTATAATATTGTCTATGTCACATCACCAACATGTCCTGAAGTGCCAAGAGATGATTCTGGCAGGATTTTACATGACAATGTCAAATGTACTACATAGATTGATTAGTGCACAAACTGATGAGTAAAACTGACGATACTCTCAAGATTAAAGCCATGATGACATTGATGAATGGAGACTGGAGACATTGATGAATGGATTAAAGCTCTAAAACCTTCAATCACTGGCTGCAGTATCACAGTACTTCTCCCTCTAGCTCGTTTTATCCTTGCGGGAGTTACAAGGGATATTTGGTTCAATAGTAAAGCCTCTCAAGATGAAGATGTGCGTTCAGATCCAGGCTTAATTCATTCACTGTTTCAGAGTAAAATTTAGTCATTCTGAATGATTTAAACTGATTTACAAAACTATAGGTCACACTGACATGCAGCTTATTTCTTTATTTTCATCCTAATCGCTATCTACTATTCAAGGAGAAAAGTTTTACGAAATACTGACAATTTAATCAGAAAAACCCAGTTTTTATAGTCTTTCAATTAAGTTATTAAGACACTTAGATCACTTTGATAAATGCATTTCGATTTAACACCGAAGTACAAAAGAGTGTACTGAAACTCACGTGTAAAGTGTATATTGTTTTAGACACTTTACCTGACTGGACTGCTGCTGGCATCTAAATCCTGTGCTGTCACCGCTCCAATGATGGTGCCCGCGGGTGTGTCCTCGTACACATCCATCACATAGGAGGGCTTATTGAACACCGGGGGCTCGTCCACATCCAAAACGTTAATCTTCACTGTTGCTGTGTCTTTGAAGGCCCCAAAGCTTTGAAATCGTGGATCCAGATGAGCATTAGAGGCATCTACCTTAAAGGTGTATGCCTTCTTAGTTTCAAAGTCCAGCGGCTACAAAAAACAGAAAAGAATACAGTTAACATTACGACAACTAGTTCATTTTCACATAATTGTACCATGATCTACAACGTGTCAGCTCTCCTGCTGTAATTTACTGTCTGTGCAGTGTTCATCTAAGAGCACTTGAATAAATGCAGTAAATTAATATGAGCATCAGTGTTGACAGCAAGTTGGCCCTCAGTTCATTTTTGTTATTCTAGCATTTTCAAGGATGAGTAACTGGTATCAGATGTCAACAACAGCCTCCTCACACCCAACAAATTTCAGTATTTGGGTGATTTGAATGTTTATATTGTCACACAGAACACATTCAAATGGCATTGTTCTCACCTGCCTGAAAAGTGCAGTAAACACACTTGTAAAAACACCCTCAGCTATGATATCAAAGGTGATGATAGAATATGTTTTTGTTATTTAAATGACAGCTCAAACGGCAGTCAATAGCGCAGCAGTGCCTATTTCATTAGGATACACAGTAGGTCCTGACCAGGTCAATGTATTGTTCTCTCAGTGTGAATAAGTCAAGCTCCAGTTACTTGGTTCAGCAGTATACGCCCCTTTTACAAGAGTTCTCCAAACAACAGCTCACAGGTTCATGTTCTACCTTCCAAAACCTCTGACATATCAGCCCAGGGTCAATTAGTCAAAAGCGAGGGGAGGAATCTGCATCCTCGGTATGTCTGCTGCTGAGCTGTAAACATCTGACAGCAGTGACACCCCTGTTCGTACTTCTGCCTGTCTCCTGCCCTCTCATGTGTGACCAACCATACTTGGCAAGCTTGCAGTCGTTCACGCTCTACTGGCCTGAAGTCACATGAGAGACATTCCTTTCTGTGTATTTCAAATTGACTAACATGTAACTACTATGGCATCAATGCTATCTTCCTGCCCCAGGACTTGGGCTCCTCTGGCATGTTGTTTCAAAAGACACTGAGTGAAAACAGCTGGTAATAGCACAGCAAAGTGCGCTTATGTAAAGAGACAGTAAATGTGGGAGAGGAGGCTTTTTTTTGGGATGCTAGATAAATATGACCAGTCATCTGTCAAAATTAAATGCATGTGAATTAGCAAACTAATTAGAGTCCAACCACTAGAAATGACCAGAGGCTGTGCAATCATGATTTCACAGTGATAGCAGATGCTTCTCAAGCCCTCAGTCTCTCCTCTATCTCCATGGTTTCACAGTCTCTGCTACAGCAGGTGTCCGTAAAGAAAAAAAAAAAGAGAGAGAGAGCTATGTGAAGGCAAGCCAATCTGAAAGCAATCATTGACCATCAACCACCATGATTGGTTTGATTACAGTGCGCCAGATGCAACTGGGTAGGCACAGCTATAAGATCCTTCAACAGGAAATACACTCTGTCCCTTTCAATCTCTTTCAAGAAATGACAACACAAGGAGAGAAGACCAAGCTCCCCCGAAGCAACAGTCCCGCAGAAAAACTGAATTCACTGCAGGTGTCATTCAAATTCTGATCCCTACAATCAAACTAAAAGATTTCCTGCCAAGTTACACCTACAAAGTGGCCTAAAATTTACAGTCATTATTTAAGTTTACTGGACTTCCTGCTGGTTCCTGTGAATTCCTAGAAATCAGCATCAAAAGAAACTCAATGTACTTCACTTTTCAAAGAGTGAGTTTAAGTTACGGGAACAATCAAAACGTTCTTATTATTTGCATTTTGTGTGATACAAAACCAGTATGAAATAAGCAAATAAAATACAGAAGAATAAATTAATACCAAGTAAGAAGCCCTCGTGTGCTGTATATCATAGTGTTCCTGAACCACCACATGTACAGGCATGCATAGCTCAGCTGAAAAACGTGCACAGGTGGAGGAGGAGGGAAGGCTATGCTGGGGAGGTGGACAGCAGGAGGTGTACACCAGGCCTCATTAGCCAGAGTCTCACTGGGGACGAGGAGAAGCACTGCTTTCCATCTCAACATGCTGCATCGCCACAATTAGGATAGAGGCCCAAACACTCACCCTTTATAACTGTCTAATTTTCATGTAATCCTCAGCTATCCGAAGACAGAGACTTGTGGAGTGCAATGGGGAAATGGTCTTTTCACTCGCAGACTTTGCACTTCTGACACAAATCTCCTAGCAAGCACAGCTGGCATCCCAGAGTTCCATTTGACAAATTACGTGCGCAAATAATGTCTAAACTAAACTTAAAAAAGTTGAGCATGGAGAAATATTATTTAGGCGCAGGTGGATTCAGTAAAGTTAATAATGACTGTTCTGATAAGATATTTTAAGGTTTTAGCTAATTATAGAGCTATCTTGTTTTCAGCCTTGTCGCTGTGGCCGATTAAGCAGTTAGACATTCAAAAGCACGTCAGTTTCATACAGCTATGTGGCTATAAAGTTGCTGACAGGCTTATTCAGCATTACACAGCCAAAACATAATGAGTATACTGGTTTGGTATACTCTCACAGAACGCCCAACTAGACAGCTAAAACTAGAGAGCCATATTTTAACTCAAAGCTAGCTGGGGCTATCTCACCACCCCAGCTCATTGAAACTAAATTGATTGTACATTGATGTAGAATATCCATTTTTAAAAACCAGATAAACCAGTTAAATCCAGTCATTGAGAAAAAAAAAAACAGCTAAACTTCTGCTAATGGTTACTAGCGTACAGGGCTAGTAGAAGAGATGGCAAGCAAAACATAGAAACATTTGATACCAACGAATCGTCGAGTTAAATAACCAGCCTGAAAGGCATGAAATGGAGGCCCTACAACCTTTTTCATCTGTGACAGTTTGTCGGCTGGCCTGCAAAGTTTAAACCCTGTTTATTTTCTTCCCTGCCTCTCTAGTGTCTCTCTACTTCTGTTAGCAATAATTAATAGTTAATGATCTTACGATAACATGCAACTGTAAGCCACTAATAACTTTAATGAGATGTTCTCTGCAAATCACATATCCTCACTGACAGCTTTATTTGTGAGATAAATTCTTAGTTGATTAACTAGCTAATAAGCTAACAACAAACAACAACAAACTCAAAACTGATTATTTTCTCATTTTGCCGCCAGAGGGTGTGATACATGACCGGAAACGTCTCTGCTCTGAATGACATCAAACATCTACTGTATGTCAGCTGATTATTCAACTCATTATAATATTTCACGCAGTTCATTTGACATATGTATCCATTCTAGTACATATTTTAGTATTCCATTAGAATTGAAAGGTTTTGCTTGTGAAGGTACTCATTAAGTACTAGCAAAGAAAAGAGATGACCAGTGGAACAAATGCAGCTCATTTTCTCAGCAGATGGAGGCCGGAGAAGCCTTTGTGACACCCGTGGAACAATGCATGGACAGCTATATGATGAAGTGCCAAGAAAATCCCACAGATGATTTTACACATGGTTTGGGTCCAAAAAAGCAATGTTGAGAGCTTCACCGTCTTTTAATGTGTCTGAGACACACGGTGCTCCAAGTATGTCTGAGATATCTGTTGTTAAATAGGAATAAAATGGGGCCAGGAGGGGGTAATGAGAAACTCTGAGTTAATGAGAAGACGTGCTAATGTGTCAACGCTTGACTTGGGGAGAATCAAATCAGATCTGGAGGCCATAGGGGAAATTTCCCAGGAAAGAAAAAGACGGCCATTCATTCTCTGACTGCATGTATCATTTTGCTCATTTTTTCCCCCCTTCCTCGAAGATGACCTACTTATGGGCTCAGAACCAGTGCTGTATGAGTAACTATTACCCATATCCACACATATATTATCTTTTAAACAAGTTGCACACACCTATGCATGTTCAATTACTTGTTTGAAGTGTCTCATTATAGCTTCAGTTGTTATGCACCTTTTATGGGTTACTGCGGACACAACAAGGAAGTGTATCAACGGAGGAATTTGTAAGGAGGACAGACCGAGTTCCTCTCATGTCAGTGCTGCTGCTCTTCAACATCACAACAGAACACACTTGAAATTCTAGACATGGTGCTGCGCCCTTTGATATGTAAATGTGCACCTTCATTGCACTGGCAGTGATACTGAATGAAGGAACTTTTTTTTTTCTTGCCAATTGAACGTGTTATGTTCCAAGGGAATTTGTTAATTTAGAACAGGGGACTAATCAAGGCATCACAGTCTCATAGGTACAGTATTATACTTTACAGGCATTAAAAAGTCCTTACATCATCAGGTTCACATGTGCAAATACTGAACAATGGATTTTGCTTGTTGAATATTTAGAGATATAATAAGAGCAAATCCATAAACTGAAATCTGTTCCTCACTTGATACATAGTTCTGTTCCTGGTCCCTCCCCCATACTTGCTCCCTGCACGGTGTAAAGTGTTGGTTGCAGCTGTTTTCTTCAGCTTGCTGGTTATTTTGGGGATGGGAGAAGCATGATGATATGCATATTGAATAGATTCTCAGTTTTTGCGTTCAGTTCAGTATCACCATTGCAGAGTTCAATATTCTTCCCAAACCTCAGCTACGCTCACTCAGTAATATGGGGGACTGTCTTCTGCCAACACCCAGAGTGAACCTAGCCTTTCCCCTTGAAGAATCATTATCACAGCACAGCAAGTCATTAGCAGCCTGATATCATTTGTTTGTGCTGAATACAGGTATTACCTGAAGAGGCTGAAGATTAAATGGGCTGAAAAATACTGCAAATTTTGTTTAATATGTGATAAGCAGAGCAGTCTTAAATCCATTTTCCACAGTATTATATATTTACAATACAACTTATGAATCATTAACACCCCCTCACATGATTTATCCTCTGAGAGTAAATCAAAGCTAAGCCAAACATGCTTAGAATATCGCACATTTCTAATTGCAGCTTTGTGAGCCAACATATTTTTCCAAACAGCAACATTAGGCCTTGTCTGGATGCTTAATTCTAGTGAGGCCAACACCTCCTGATCCCACATGCCAGCGCCCATCAGCTAAAAGCGAAATATTTGCCTGTTGGGTTGCAGTAAGCTCTAATAGTCTTAACAATGCCCA